AACTATGTTACTTAACTGGAAGCACTCGTACAACATAATTTACACGATTTTTCAGGATAATTATACTTCTTACAAGCATATATACAGTATAGTACCTAAGAGGTTCTCTTCAATGATATCTAAGATAATTAAAAGAACCCAAGCAAAGTACTGTGGAAATGTGCAGGACAAACATATCAATTGTGACACTAGCTCTCCACATATGGCATTTGCTTAATTTAGAAACTGTACTTGTGGTCGATCTCGAACCAATGTTGTTGATGTGACGATGTGTTATGAATTTTGTGGCTAGCTCCTCAAGATTGTAACTTGCTTAGATAAATAAATTGTGTGTTCAGTCCCTGAACCCATTATGTGATAAATTAACTAAACTAAAATCTATAGTCTGGCGACGAAACCTGAACTGCATAATGTAAATAGGGATTAACCAGAAAAAGATATAGGTGAAGAATAACACCAGGTAACTGCATTAATTACAATATCTAGATCAAACTAACATTGATTTTCAAAAGGTTGTATATTTTCCATCAATGGAGAGCATCAGCCAAGAAGCCTTCTTTAAAATATGAATATCTTTCCTTACCCAATAAGATCTAATCTCTGAATAAAACGCAAAAAAAGACTTGATTGTAACCTATCCAACGCTGCCTATTGGATGGGGGAGAGGGGGTTATGTGTAGGATAAACATATCAATTGTGACACTAGCCCTCCATATATGTCAGTTGCTTAAATTATAAACTGTACTTGTGGTCGGTCTCGAGCCCATTGTTGATGTGACAATGTGCATTGACTTTTGTAACTAGCTTATCAAGATTATAACTTCCTTGGCTATATGAATTGTGGGGCTCAGTCCCTGAGCCCATTATGTGCCTCTGTAACACTCCACTATCGCCCATAGGATGGGTATGGGGTGCATAATAAATGAACTAAACTAAGCTCTGCCTTTTTGATAACAGATACAATTATAAGCTTTATTTGTGAATCTCAATTAATTAAACAATATATCACAGAGCCTGTAGGGTTCGGTGAGATGAGCGAAGAGACATGGGAGATTTTACATAAGTACAGTACATGGTAGTTTAAGTAGCGAACGCATGCCAACGAATAACGAGTATATATAACAAAACTATTGTCCTATGAAGTCGATTTAACTTCCAAACATATATTTTTTAATAAATGTTAAATGTTTTCTGGCTAGTTATGTTAGATTTTATTAAAAATACGTATTCTACTTGTTAACATTATAATTTAAATTTGTGATAATTTGTGCAGAGAAGTCCGACAACTGGATATGCCAACAAACACTTTCCAAACAACGATATATCTTGGATAAGTCGCTCCACAACATTGATGCTTTGACCGTCGACTTCCTTTGATGCTACTTATTTCATAATGAAATTATATTAGTTTGGAGTAAATATGTTTTTTCATGTTCTGCATTCAGCACCCACATTATAGTAAATATACCATATTAGTTCATTACTTAAATAATGCTAGGAGGGTTTGAGTAGCTTTGGGCCTTTAGTGGACAGAATCTCCAATAGATGGGGCGAGAGTCGCCTCATCTCTCTCGCCCGAGCAAGAGTCGAAACTTAATTTAAAATTGATATATCTTTGTTCTCGAACATGATATATTTCATTTGGTGCAATCATAATAATGTTCATATCTCGGTCTTTCTGGAGGCATATAAGATTTTAGGCTTTATTAGCGTATCTTTGCTAATTATACAATATATCGGCAAGTGTGTAGGCGTCTGCACTCCATGCCTGACAAGCTACTGAGCGCTACTATAAAAACATATGTATCTTCACTTGAGCTATAAATATGTCTATTGTAATGTATTTAAAATGAAGCTCTTATTTCTATCTTGCTTAAGACATATAAAACATTTGTGTTTATTAACGAATTTACGTGAAATAAACATTGATCTGAGAGAGGTGGGAGGTGGGAGCTCCGTAATTTTTAAAATACATGTATCTTCATTAGAACTTTAAATATGTCTATGGTAAAGTGTTTAAAGTGAAGCTTATATGTCTGCCTTTCTTGAGACATTTAAAACATATATGTTTATTAACGAATTCACTTGAAATAAACAGTTCTGAGAGAGAGTTGCTCGGTCGATCAATCTGTCCGGGGTCAAAGCTCGGCTATTATAAAAGTACACGTATCTTCGCTTTAAATTTAAATATGCCCATGGTACGGTATTTAGAATGAAGCTTATATTTCTATCTTTCTTGTGACATATAAAACTCTTACGTTTATGAAGGAATCTGCGTGAAATAGGCATGGTTCTGAGATGAATGCTGCGGTTTTCGAGCTCGACGAGCAATGAAAACTGCCCCTTTTATAAAACTACAAATATCTTCGGTTTTACTTAAAATATTTGTCTGGTAGAGGTTTAACATATAGTTCGCGTTTTTGTCTTTCTTCTGACTAATAAATAATTTTGGTTTAATAAGTCATCAAGATGTTTTCAACAATATTTCACATGTATTTCATGTGAACAATGTATTTCAACAATACAATACAACAAATACGCACATTGGTACATTATTGCAAAGGCACTATACTATATATATATATATATATATATATATATATATATATATATATATATATATATATATATATATATATATATATATATATATATATATATATATATATATATATATACATATATATATATAAATTGTTGCAAGTCGAGCAACAAATATTTTACATTGAACAACAAATGAGATTGGAAAAGCAGTATTGCCACCTCTGCTATACAGAAAAAAATAGACCCCAGACACACCCTATGGGTAGTAATGGGCCCCCATACCGACACTATGAGGGGAAGTGGACCCCATAATAACACTATGGGCGGTAGTGGGCACTATACAAACACTATGGGCGGTAGTTGACTTCATAGCGACCCTGTGGGCGGTAGTGGACCCCCTGCCGACCCTGTGGGCGGCAGTGGACTCCCTACCGACCCTGTGGGCGGCAGTGGACCCCCCCCCCTACCAACCCTGTGGGCGGTAGTGGACCCCTACCGACCCTGTGGACGCCCAACCGACCCTGTGGGCGGCAGTGGACCCCATACCGACCCTGTGGGTGGCAGTGGCCCCCATACCGACCCTGTGGGCGGTAGTAAACCCCCTACCGACCCTGTGAGCGGCAGCTGACCCCCTACCAACCCTGTGGGCGGTAGTGGACCCTTTACCGACCCTGTCGGTGGCAGTGGACCCTATATACTAATCCTGTGGGCGATACTGGACCCTATACTCATCCTTTGGGCGGCAATGGACGCCATACACATCCAGTGGGTGTTATTGGACCCCATACTTATTCTGTGGGTGGTTGGAGCCCCATACCCATCCTGTGGGTGATAGTGGACGCCATACTCATCCTGTGGGTGGTATTGGACCCCATACCCATCCTTTGGGTGGTTGTGAGCCCCATACCCATCCTGTCGGTGGTAGTGGATGCCATACACATCCAGTGGATGGTATTGGACCCCATTCCCTTCCTGTGGGTGGAAGTGATCCCCAAGTTTGCAGTAGTTTACCCCATAAACATTCCACCATAACATCGTTTTCTGTTAGCGTTCCTACAAAACATTCTTTAAAATTTTTTAAAGCGCAAACTATGGTATATAATATTGATTGGTGAAGCACTGTTATTCTATGTAATAATTTATAGTGCTTATTATAATTTACTAACAACAACTAATATTTCTCAAAACAAAACTACGAGCCTTCAATAGGAAGTAGCTGATCTGTAATATTCTAAGAGCATGGACAATAGTAGGTAAATTTCACAACCCATGTGGGACCTGAAAACTACAATTTTCATTATAATTGAAGCAATGACGACTATTCTGCTATCTAGGTTGATGGACGGGTACTGTGAGACGTAAATTGGTACGTGAGGAAGAGTTTGGGCCTTGGTAAAAAAGGTAACTGGAAATATATCACATATGTACTAAATCATTATTCAACATATTGACTTTAAGCATTAAGTCATATATGTGCTGTCTTGTGTGAGAACGGGTTGGACACTTCATATCCCACATATGAATGTAAATTCAGTAGTTCCTTGTAACTACACAAATACACTATATATATGATCACAACCTGATCATCCCTGATAAGAAGATGTCGCACATTCATGGAGTGACTTTATAGACATTTCTTCAGATTCATCTTACGCTGCCACGTCGCCTGTTTACTGTGCCAATTTGAATTTTCTGGGCCATCCTCTTTGCGATTTTGTGAGGATTTATAAGGTCTGTTAGCGGCTTCAGCAGCCTTACGAGGAACCTTTCCAAGTGCCGTAAAGAACTCCGAAGACCATCAATCACCATCGACCATCTGTCATAAGTCATTTTCATTTTCACTCATGTTCTCTTACATTCAATACAGAAGCCTGTTATGTCATAAGTCATTTTATTTATTATACATTCACGACTGAGCGTATTAAAATAGCCCATTTCGACCCCACTCTAGCACTGCCTATTCCGACTGTATCTCCTACAGTCTTTTTCTCATGGTAATAATCTCAGACTTCATCATCATCAGATCCTCCTCCAAAATTACCCAGCATTTTCTATCATCCACAAGCTCCATCTTCACACTCGAGATGGACATGGAACACACTGTGTTCAGTCTGGGGCCTGGCATCCCTGCCGCCTTTTTAGATGGGAACATAACTAAGGTACTGAAGTGTCGTCTGCCGAGGTCTCCCTTGCAACACAGCGTTACCATTCACACTGTTCTCTTGATATGCCACAACGTACACAACACAAAGTCTTCACCTAACCAGAGACGTATAAACCCCAGCAATACACCTAACCTAACCAACCAATGCACAAATATTGGTTGATATCACTTCATATTTATGTTATTGGTTGGTATCACACCAGGTATCACTTCCCTAGGTATCACCATTGGGTGACACCTAGTGAAGTGATTGCAGCTGGACACCTTCATATATAGGAAACGACATCCTTACCTGAGGAAGACGGCGTCCTTAGCAGGGGAGCTTGTTGACAGGCAACGGAACGACATAGGAGCACTCAGCAGGGTCGAGCCTACCATGTGAACTGGCAACACTGCGTGGACTGTGAATAAAATAATGTAAATTATTATCAATATATGAATTATGGAGATTAGTATTACCTAGCATTAACTCATAATATACTCATGATTCAAGATTCATCTTTTTCAAATAGAGCTCAAAAAGAAAAAAAACATGTCTTAAACTTATCATAAAGCATACTTATGTGTATTCAGGAACTCATAATTTATTGCCTAATCAACACATCTTAGAACTGAATGATATGATTAATAAATTAAATAATGAGAGGACTATATAATATATTTCCTTACCCCTGTCACATCATAACCCACTATGTAGAGATTCTGACTTCTCTTAGCAGTCTATCAACTCTGGGGTTCATATACACTGTCTTATTATATGTTCGTTGTTGTGTGACTTTCATTCCCAGTCTTAAGTAACGCTCACCGTGTAACTGCCAGGACCTGTAGTTACGCCACTCACGCTCTAGGGTAGGGGGAGAGGTGGCGTCCGGGGGAGTGGTGTAGGGGGAGAGGTGGCGTCGGGGGTCGGGGTGTAGGGGGAGAGGTGGCGTCGGGGGTAGTGGTGTAGGGGGAGAGGTGGCGTCGGGGGTAGTGGTGTAGGGGGAGAGGTGGCGTCGGGGGGAGTGGTGTAGGGGGAGAGGTGGCGTCGGGGGTAGTGGTGTAGGGGGAGAGGTGGCGTCGGGGGTAGTGGTGTAGGGGGAGAGGTGGCGTCGGGGGGAGTGGTGTAGGGGGAGAGGTGGCGTCGGGGGGAGTGGTGTAGGGGGAGAGGTGGCGACGGGGGGAGTGGTGTAGGGGGAGAGGTGGCGTCGGGGGAAGAGGTGGCGTCGGGGGGAGTGGTGACACCAGGCGGCTTTCTGTTATGGACGCTCGTCTGGTGAAGGTCCAAATCCACTGGTCTTAAGATACTGCCCTGGCAGTTTGGTAAGATTCGTGGGTTTGGTAATACAACTTTTTGATCTTGTTCTAGTAATTACCTAAGTGTAGTTACAGGATGAGAGAGCTTAGCTCGTGGTGTCCCGTCTTCCCGGCACTGTCATATAACGCTTTGAAACTACTGACGGTCTTGGCCTCCACCACCTTCTCACCTAACTTGTTCCAACCGTCTACCACTCTGTTTGTGAAAGGGGATTTTCTTATATTTCTTTGGCATCTGTGTTTAGCTAGTTTAAATCTATGACCTAAAGCCTATAACCTATGACCTATGTTCTTAAAGTTCCAGATCTCGGGAAATCTTCCCTATCTATTTTATAAATTCCTGTTACTATTTTGTATGTAGTGATCATATCACCTTTTTTCTTCTGTCTTCTAGTTTTGGCATATATAATGCCTCTAACCTCTCCTCGTAGCTCTTGCCCTTCAGTTCTGGGAGCCACTTAGTAGCATGTCTGAGTCATTGGGTTTTATCTTTGTTTATATTTTGGAGTCCATTTATTTTATGTGTGCAAGACATGTATTGCAGGTGTAATGTGTTATGTTTGTTTTAATAAAGTAACGTTTGTTTTTAAATTGGATTTTTAACTTTAATATAAAACCAACATGTACTTATTCGTGAAATTTTTGTAAAGATTTTCACTTAGTCTTTCGCACTCTTCTGAGTACTTTGGAAAGTCTGAATATGTGGTTAAGACAAGACTTTACATCAAGGCGACTAATGCCATTGTGATTTGTCGTTGAGATGCAAGTTTCGCCTTAACCACATATGCTTGTGTTACTCAGACCTTGGCAAAGCACTCAGGAGAGTACGAAAGATTTGGTGTAAATCTTTACATATATTTCACTAATACATAAGTGTGACTTTTTATCCTATGTTTGTGAGACGATATTACCATTACTTACTTAACTTTACTCCTGTTTACTCATAATCACATTAGTTTAAATGTGCTTTTTTAATGCTGTGTTGAGCAATTGGTCAGCTGTGTAAAACTGTAGTACTTAAATTAACGTAACGCCTATTTAATTACGTATATCAAGGCTTCAAAATAGCTCCTAGCTAGTCCAACATATACCCTGGATAACCTCATAATATCGTGGAAAAATATAAAGAAATAACCCTACTAATTTTAATAAATTCCATAAACTGATTATATATATACGTCTGTCATGCAAAAGCCTTTATCAAATGTCATGAGTATAGGCCTACTGATGTTCTGTCTGTACCAAGATGACAATTGAGCTGATCATCTCTATTTTATTCACCAAAAATAATAGTGATACTGCTAGTCTCAAAAGGGTTATAATAAACTTAAAAAATGATTAACTATTTGCTGCCAAATTAGTGTTGAAGAATTGCATTGACAACTGGCCAGCTGGGAAATTCGATCTGGGTGAGAGTTAACTCGCCCCAGCGGACGAAGGAAAAACATGTTGATTACATTCTTGAAGCTATTAAACACCTGGTCACTTAAGGTAAAATATCCAAACCTGAAATAGATTTGGACAAGCTACTGAAATATATACTCGGTTAGAAAACCTATCAATATGTGACTGATGGATGCTTTCGGTCACATATTTCGTAAGGAAATATCGTAACGAGTTACGAAACCAGCTTTCGTAACTCTGAAAAGCAGATGATTACCAAACTGGCTAGGCTTCTGAAATCAAAGATTCATGTAAAAAATCTATCCCCAGTGAGAGCCTAGAGCCCTAGACTCTGCTGACAACCAAGAAGCTATTGTGGCAGAAATCAGTCAAACACTTGAATATTCTGCAGCGGTGAGGAAGAATGGGCTGCATTCCCTGTGCTTACCCCATCACCTGGGCAGCATGTGAACGGTACAGTCCCACCCACCAGTGTCGCTGCGGTATCACCTCGGGTGAAAGTGGGAGATGAATGTGTTAAACTTGACCATATAGAAGCTCTTAGAATGAATGCATGTAAGGCCCTGTGGCGCAGTGGTAAGATACTCGCCCCGCGCTTCCCGAGAGATTTTGCTTGGGTTCGTATCCTGGCCAGGAGAGGACTGACTTTTTGTTCCTGTCAGTCGTTAACTGTATGCCTCTGTTCACCCAGCAGTGAATGGGTACCTGGTTAATTATTAAACTATTTGGCGGTTCGTATTCCGGGGAAACTTATGATTAAGGACCTGCCCGAAACGCTATGCATGCCAGTGGCTTTACAAGAACGTAAAAACTTTTATATATAAATCAAATAAAAAAAATATAAATCTGCGTGATTTAATAATGTGGGATTACAGGCTTCTTGCTGTTCATCCCTCCAGCTGGCCTCCTCCTCTCACCCTTGGTCATACCCCTTCACCCCTGGCCTCACCCTTCCCACCCCTAAAATCACCCCCTCACTGTAAACTTACACCCCCCCCTCCCTTCTACCCTCAACACATCAGATGAGTTAAAACCCCTCCTGGTTGACCCTGTGTTAGTAAGCAGTGCTTAGAAAGGCTTCACACGCCTGTGCTTGGACTCAAGTTGGAAATAGAAAGAAACGTATGTGAAAAATACAAATATTTCTGCCATGTCAGCAGCATTAATTAATTGTGGTTAACATTGTGGTCTAGCACACACGTCCTCTGTTGAGGAAAAGATTGTCGATGTTTGCGGTTTAGAAACCTGGGAAACCTTCAGTTACTAGTATATTTTTTTCGGAGTAGAGGAACTATCAGGAGAATGTTCAAAGCCATTACGACTATATAGCACTTGGAGGGGGATTCCACGTCTGGCCACTGGAGGGGTGTGGACGTCGGTCTGGGAGCTCCAGTTTGTCCCTGCCAGTGGTGCTGACTGGGGTTGCACCCAAGTCAGCTGGGTGTGGTGCTGGTCATTTAGCCGGAGCTGCTTGTGGGAGGGGGGGCAGTGCCCAGGTATGCCTTGCACGATGGGGGGGCACCTTTGCCTCCAGCGCTTCGGTCGTCTTCGGTTGGATTAGTTTACCGAGATTGTGGACTTCCCGACAGTGGATGTGACATTATTTGACATGTTCGTGTGGATATGTCTACGGCTGCTGGCAGGAAGCTTGTTTCCAGTCGCCACACGGTCGTCAAATTTGGCTCCCTGAATAACTACAGTGAGTTTGTGAAGTGGTATGACAACCGATCTTTCAAGTTGCCTAGAACTGCTGGTATGCTGGCTGTTTCTGATCGTAGTGGCACCACTACATACGTGCTTCCAGTGTGCACCCTTAGTTTCCTGAGGAATTGTTGCGCCATTATTTTGGGAGATTTGGACAGGTGTTGGCAGTATGGATGAATATTATCTCCTCCGGTCTGCTGAAGGGTGTTCCGAACAGCAATCGGACTGTGACTATGCGTCTGAAAGCTGACATCCCGTCATCTGTTCACTTCATGAGCTTTTATCTTCGTGTGTTCTATGCTCGGCAGCCTGGGACATGCTTTGAGTACGGGATAGGTTGGCATCAGGCTGCGGGGTGCAGTGCAGTTAGTGTGGACCCAGTGAATCTATTTCGTGACCAGGATTTCCCCCCAGCTGAAGTGCGATGGTGCTGCGGATGGCCTGCCTACACAGTGTGATGTGGCACCAGGTGTGTTGACCAGTGCGGTGGTGCCCCTGCCTCCTCCTCCCCCGTTGGTCTCTATGGCAGTTCCAGGGTTCGAGGAGGGTGGTGCTGTACATCCTAACAGGGGTTGGGAGATGTGTGGTGCCTGGCGTTCCACGGTTGTTCCTGATATGCGGCCTGTTGTGTATCGGCTTGTACCAATGGTAGTTGTGGCGGCCACAGTGCTGCATAGCAAAGTTCTCCGTGACCTGGAGCGGCCTTCTTCTTTTTTCTTTTTTTTTTTGAGATATATACAAGAGTTGTTACATTCTTGTACAGCCACTAGTACGCGTAGCGTTTCGGGCAGATCCCTGGAATATGATCCCCTGCCGCGAAGAATCGTTTTTTCATCCAAGTACACATTTTACTGTTGCGTTAAACAGAGGCTACAGTTAAGGAATTGCGCCCAGTAAATCCTCCCCGGCCAGGATACGAACCCATGACATAGCGCTCGCGGAACGCCAGGCGAGTGTCTTACCACTACACCACGGAGACTGTAAGACTTCT